TTTAATTACTTATTATTATTATTATTTTTAAAGATAATTAGTAAAATATAATTGTTCAATTAATTATTCTGCAGTTGTATCATTCATAGCTGCTCTTGGGTTCTTGATTTATGGAGGAAGGTGAATCTTTAAATCATAAAAATTAGTAAATTATAATTTCATTTTTCTTTTTCTTATTCATGGATTTTTAATTTTAATTTTTTTATATTCATTGTTTTTAGATTATTCTTCATGCTTCGAAGGTTTCCTATTGAATCTAAAGGAAGAAGGAAGAAACTTCATGAGGTTGGTTTTTGTTTATACGATTTTACTCTTTATATAAATAACTGTTGAGATTTGAGAAGGCATAATAATATAATATAATATAATATAATGTCAGGTTTAAATTAATTATTATAATTTTTGTTTTCTGATATAATATTTCCTTTGTTAATTAATTTTATAATATATTATTAGGTTGGATCTGTGACAGCAATATGCTTTACCTGCTTTGTTGTAAGATGCATTGTGGTAAGTTTCCATCAATTTATTTATTTCTATAATTCTATTACAATATTGTTGTAGCTTTAATTTTTAAAATCTATTTATCATATCAAAATATTTAAAAAAAAAAACAAAAATTGATTTTGGAAATTGTAGGATGTTGTGTCGGCTTTTGATTCGGAGGTGTCATTGGATGTTCTTGATCATCCGGTCCTAAACTTGATCTTTTACATGGTATGAATAATAATTAATTAATTTAATTTTTGAAATTTGTAATTGATTTTGACTTTTGTTTTTGTGGTCAACGCTGAACAGTTAGTTGAGATCTTGCCTTCGGCTCTTGTGTTGTATATTCTAAGGAAGCTGCCTCCGAAGAGAGTTTCTGCACAATATCAACCTATTCGTTAATCATTTTTCTTTGCTTTGTTTTATTGTATAAATATTTATTATCATTATTATTATTATTATTATATTTGGATTGGTTTTGTTGTGGCTTCAAAAATAGTTAAAACATACAAAGCCTTAGACCTTTCTAGTATGTATCATATTAGAAATACTTAAAATAAAACTATTTTTGTTGTTCATAAACCTAGAGTTTATATTCTATAATAAATGATTCTTACTTAAATTGTTTATTCGGTCTAACGATTTTTTTAAATCTTTGATATATGTGGCGTATTTTAAATTTTAACGAATACTGTTTTGATGTATTTTTTTTTATAAAATATATTCACTTTATATTTTGTATATTTAATTAAATATATTAACAAACCAAAAACACAGAGATTTCTATCACACTCGAATAGTAATAAGCTTTGTAAAAAAAAGCTATGCATTTTACGAGTTCTTTTAAAGGTTTTAATAGATTTTAAGAGCTTTTAATAAAGGAACTCAGAAAAATTTTCATGCTTAAAACTTTTATTTTAGAAACAAAATTATAATCCAAAAACTATTTTAAATAGCCTTTAGCTTTTTAACTTTTGAACGTGTTGCACATCAAACTTTTAGTTTTCAAGGAAAAAAATTTGAGTTAAAAAAATCGTTTGAGAATAAGACTTTAAAGCCTTTATACTAAAAACAAAAAATTTATAATCCAAAAATTACTTCAAGTATCTTTTAGCATTTAGAAGCCTTTTAACTTTTAGTTTTATGTAAGTTGACAATTTCAAAAGTTTGCAACAATTTTCGACAAACATAGATTTTATGTAATTATAACCTTTCAAAAACTTACAACAATTTTACCAAATACTTCTACACAAATAAAAACTACAACTCCAACTATTTTCCCAAACATTTGGTATATATAATTGTACATTTCAAAAGCTATAACTCTTAACAAAATGTCTGTTTTAATAAAACAAATTCAAATAATATTCAATATTGGTAGCATCTTTAATGTCTAAACAAGATTTTGTCATGAGGTAATTTGTTAAAAAAAAATAAAAACTAGGGTTTGGATCCCCATGCATTGCAACGAAAACCTTGTATTCATTTGAAAAATACATTCCAACATACATGAAAACAAATACATAAAAATAATCATTTTGTAATAAAAGCCTAATCTGAAAAATGGAAAAATCTTTAAAACAACCTTTCTACCAATTCTCAACAATCCTTTTTACATACAATGAATGTCGTAAACACCACACCATGACATGTCATATATACATACTACACATACTTCTTCAATCTTTTAACCCTCACTAAAGACTAAACAGTAAAAACATAAAATTACTCTTTACTCCTCCATTGTCCAATTAGATTTAATCTACAGGTGGGCCCGCAAATCTCACATCCCCAGCACGTGCCACAACAACATTTTCATTACCAAAAAGCGATTTAATAAACGACGGCGTTTTCAATGGCCGCCTCCCACTCATTCTTGGATACACATCTTCAAGAAAATAATACGCATGCCCCGCCACCATCCCCTGCCACGTCACCACTAATTAATAATTTATTTTCCCCAAGGGTATTTTAGTCTTTTTAAAACAACGACTCACAAGTAAATCCGCCCACGCACTTGCGCCAACAAGCACAGAAAACCCCAACAAAACCTATACTCAATATAATTATATAATAAACAAAATAAATAAATGTAAACTATATGTAAATTATCAAATAATAATAATAATTACACTAACCCATGGGAGATAAGCTGCAGTGAAAGTAAAAAGACCCAAGAAACTCATATGAATAAATGGATTCCTCTTGCTCCATACATAAACCTATAAATAAAAGTAGGATCATATAAATATACAAAAAAAAAAAAATTATGCTGATTCTTGTAAATAATATACCATCATAAATGTCAATGAATTGCTAAGGAAAATGATTTTGGCGAAAGATTCAGAGATGTAAGGAATCATTCCTCCAACAAGTACAATGCTTGTTAAGACTGTAGCACCAAATAAGAGCATATAAAAGAAATCCGCAGTTCTTCCTCTGAATGAATTTTTCTTCTAGAAGCTTGCAGTATCGAGCGAGAAAGAACATGTGAAAAAGAAAGTCCAGATCTGTAATACGAAGATGTTATGTTATAATCATACAATGCGATTAGCCGATTATCATGTATGTGTAAGGTGTTTACCCATCTTTCGAAAGTAGAGAAAATTTGTGATAAGTCGCCAGAGTTGGAATTGATTAACGACAAGCCTCGGGTTCAAATATAGGTTGTATGGTGAAATGATCTGGAAAAATGTTTCAAAAAACAATTGGGGATCAAATGATTAATCGCCTTTTAAACGTTTTGTGGAATCGATTCGTTTAATTTAATGTATATGTGCGCTAACATCGACGCAATTCATTCTTTTTTGGAATTGAACAAGCTAATTGGAGAATAAAGATACCTAACGCCCAAATTGATAGCCCGAATAGAACACCAAACAGTTAAATTATCGAAACCCTTCGATTAAAGATAAAATTAGGGGAATACCTCAAGGGAGCAACCAACTGTGGTAAGAACAGCAGCTGTGAGATAAGAACGAGTTATGACAGGCATCTGTTTGTACCATTCTTCCACAACTTGTGCCATTTCTCTTTAATCGAACAACCCTAACCCTTATTTTTCAAGAATCAACGCTCCAAATAGCTTAATCAGCTTCAAGGTTTTATAATCAGCAATACCTAAACAGGAGGAAGTCGAAGAATCTAGAGAGGAATGGATTTGGGAGTGTTACAAGCAGATATGCACTAAAGTAGTAAATGGGGTAAAAACAAGCTCTCAAAGGGAGTGTCTGTTCTAATCTTCAAAGGAGTCTAATTTTGTTTATGGAAGCACGATGTTTAAGAGCGCGTGTACGACAAATGCTAATAACTGAGCGCCTGTCTGGTCAACTTGAACATCCCGGAGTTATTTTTTTTTTTCTTTCTATTTATTATTATTTTTTTAAACGAAAAATATAAACTATATTCATTTATGTCCATAATGCTTCAAAAAAGGGACATCTAATACTCTTAGATGTGAAGCTAATTGGTCGTCCCGAAGTTAATAATATGTTCAAAAGGGATTGATTGCATTTTTGTGTTGGTTTTAATCCTTGGACTTTTCTTTCGTCTCATGTGCCACAATTAAGGTTGTTGGGTTGTTTCCTATATTGTTATTTATTAGAATAGATACTTCATTGGTTTACATAAAACTGTTTCCATGTTTTTTAACAATAACTAATAATCAATAATATAGAAGCTAATAGTTATGTACTTATGTAACCAATATTGGCTATACTTGAAAAACACAAAAAAATCTGAGAAGGTACATAAGAGAATTGCATTTTATAGAAGATTATAAAATACACCAAAATATGTATGAAGTGAAGGATGTTATGTGGGGGAAGAAGTAGTAAAAATGTAACAAGTTTTAACTAATGCTTTCAAAATATCATCATCACTTGTAATAACCCATTCTCCTCGGTTACTAATCGCTATATATATTGAAATATTGAAAGAGAAACTTTATTACGTTTCAAAATATCATCATCACTTGTAATAACACATTCCTCTATGACATCTCTCTCTAAACTTTTCCCATAGAACAACCCTATGCTAACCCGTCAACACTCCCACCGATGCCTTTGGGTATTTATCAAGTATTTTAAAAACCATGCCTTAAAACACTCATATGAAGAGGGGTCTAACTGTAAGGGATGGTAAATTCAAAATAGAGTTGTTACCATGACAATGATCACCACTCAACCTTAAACTCAACCATCTGGCCTTATCACCCTTGATAGTAAGAACACTAATCTCAACACCCACTCTGTATTTTTGATGTAGTTTTGTTTTCAAATCTTTGGTTTTTATTTATGTGTATGAGTTTGTGTTTATTATTTCTTTTGTTGGTCTTATGTGTCTAACTTTCAGTTTCATGTTTCATTTGTTGATCTATTGGCTTTCAGATCTGATGAGACTATTGCAAAGTTTGATAGTGTATGAGAGGATTTGTATAAGGATTGTACCACGATAATGCAACATCATTGTGATTAAAACATACAAAATATATTGATAGAAGTATATCGTAGGGTATGTGAGAAACATATGTAATTTTGTTTAGATCAGAAAATACTCATATGTATACTCACCCCTAGCTTTAAATATCTACAGCTTCTTCCACGAAAAATGTTTGGAGAGATCTCATCCTCATTTAGACCTAAAATCTGGTGGCTATATGTTGTATTTCCCTTATAGTTCGCGCTCTATTTTGTTGCTTCTTTCCTTGAAAATCGTTTTTTTTTTTTTTTTTTTTTTTTTTTTTTTTTTTTTTTTTTTTGGGTTTCTTGGGGTTTGGTTTTTACAAATCATGTCATGAACTCCTTGTTCTGTTTAGAATATCATAATAACGTTTTGAGTATAATTTGTTGTGGTTGATTATGAATTTCTTTTAAGTAATAAAAATTAGCTTCAAGAATTTATTTATTTATTTAATTACAATTCCATAAAAGTGTTTTGATATTTGTTGCGGTTGATTTTGAATTTCTTTTGGGCGATAAATTACCATAAATTAGTAAAACGAAGAGAAATACAATTATTTGGCTTCAAGAAAGAAACATATATTTTTATCAACTTTTAGTAAAAGAAAAAAAATACAATTCCTATAAGTAAATTTCAAATAACGTTATCTATAAACATAAAAAATGAGTTTAAAGGAAGTGTATATAATTAAACTTTCATTATAAAAAAGTATTTCATAGATAAAGCTCAAATAAACAAACAACTTATAAGTTTGTGATTAAAGAATAATTTTATGTATTTTTTTATATATTTATATTTTTAAAAAGAATTCAACTTAATGAGATATTTCAGAAAATATATATTATTTTATAGAATTATATATAAAAAGTTAGATCTTAAATGAGTTAATTAAATTAATTAATGGATTATGTAAAAAAATCAAACAAAAAGAAAAACATCGA